GCCTCAAGCTTCCTAGGTCAATTGTTATCCGTATTGTCCCGCTGTTTCTGGTATCACCGCAGCCCAATTATGAGCTCGCCCGTCTAGAACGTTATTGGACTTAGTCTCAGACCTTCCCGAGGCTTATCAACTGTTGGTAACTGAAATTCCGTGGAAATTCTGTACCCCGCTTGTACGCCACTAGCTGCAAGTTTGACTCTGACCGAATAAATCCCAGAAGCACTCATCATCGGACAGATTGTAATGAATTTTTCAGAGAAAAAAATTCACACTGATCCTGCCGGGAATCGAACCCGGATCACCAGCATACTAGGCCAGCCGCTTGCGCATGACGCTACAAGCCTCTACTCGGTATTCCGCAGCACACGTGACAGCTTCAAACAATGTCAGGCTTGTTTGAAGCGCGCTCTTCTATCATCCGTCAATGAATAAATTTGCATGTAAATATCGTGATGATTTTTTTTTCTTCTTTTTTTCCCTCAATACTCTGCGCATCGACTTGTGATCTTGGTCAAGGGCATAATGGCGTTTAATACCAGTGTGAGTGAAGAAGTTTAACGTCGTCCCCGTTTGGCCCATTATTAATACACACATTCTGCCCCTCACTTTGCCGTAAACTGATGTCAATCGACTTGACGCGCAATAGACGATCTGGGATACCAATATGAAGAGGACAAGAGGAAAAAATGAGGGGAAAAAAAATAATCGAGAATAATTCTGAGAAAAATCTGTCGAGCTGATGGAACGGTGACTAGCACGCAAATAGTCTTGAGTATTAAGATGATATGAGAAGGTAACTGGGGAGGGGGAGAGGGAAAAAGAAGGGAATCTCGTATATTACGAAGAGTTGCGCAACCACGGAAAATTAACAGCCTAGTCACGCAACGATGCACCTGTAACGATTTTCGTGACGTTGCTGTAGCGATTTGGCGTGTTTAGCCAAACGACCCGACGAATCATTTAACAGAGAATAGTTTGCAATTAATTATCGTGTTTACGTAATAACTGCCTGCAGGACCGGGCGACCTACCGCATAGGAATCAAGCGAACCAATATAGGAATTATTGCCTAATATTTCACTCACGCTTGTCGCCATAATTTTCGATTTTATTGATAGCCTACAACTCCCCAACAAATTCTCAACTTTTTTTTTCATTCGAGGTCTCTGTCGGTTATTTTTTTCCTCCTCTCATACACTTATCTGCGGATGGAATGAAAGAGGAAAAAAAAGAGAAAAGCGATATGGAATTGAATGCCATTAGAATGCTTAAAAAACTACGCATCTGAATGGAAATTTGTCGCAGTGGATTTTTGCCAATAAATAGCCTTGGAGCCAACGTCCGGTTGATGTGTTTACGATCCAAATATACTACATAAGTGCCAAGAAAGGCCCTCCTTGGTAAATAAAAATAATAGGGGAGTTCCCCAAGTCAGAGGTACGCCGAAGAATAAGTAAAAAGAGTCCTAAAAAAGACCAAGGGAAGGAAAAAAACATGTTTTGTAGGGGACAAACACTGCGTAGAAAACTCCTGAGGGAGGACAATGTGCGCAAAATGGTGACGCAACGTGTAGATAGATATAAGGGCGTATGGGAGTAAGAGAGACACTAGAGATTGTCGTCAATAGGTACTATAAATCAAAGAATGCTCCGTGAGCAAGTAAAAAGGATAGACATAAATAGAGAGAATGAGGTGGGAGGAGGAAGCTGGCACTGCGGTCACGGTCGTACATTACCGTCGGTATTTACGGCACCCCATCATAAATCAATGATTGGACTAGTGTATGTTTCATAAAAAAAAATCTTGGTGATACCAAATCGACCGATAGTAACTCAAGATTTAAGCTTCTACGCATTTCCTAAACAAGCAAACAAATGTAATAATAATTGACGTGAAAAAAATGCTCAACTCATTTCAAGCTGAAATTTACGATGGAAAAAAAAAGATTTGTGAAAAGTAAACGCAATTCTCTTTATTATCCCATGTATAGCCCTTTAAACGCCATTTAAACCGTGACTCTAGCCACCCGCCGTTTCCCGTTGAAGCGGAAAAGATCGTTTTAACGAGGCTTAGGTAGAGAAAAGAAAGAGAGAGAGTGGGAGAGAGAACCAGGGGATCAGGTCAGACTTCCTAATGCCTCCGGAAGGCCCATGGGTATACAAACGACAGTTATGTGCCAAGCCGTTGCCCTTTGCGCTTTATTAAGGGGGAAAATTCCCATAGCTGTACCCCCTCTCGCCCTGCTGCCAGCGTTGCCTTTCCTTTCACAAAGGAAAGATCCAGAGCGTCGTTGATCCATGACTGTGATCTTCGCGATATCGAGTTACACAAAACCTCGGATTCGCGCTTCCAGGCGCTTTTCCCCGGAGATTGTGGATCAAAGAAAAACAGCGCCATTTTCACTCCTTCCTTTTACCCACCTCTTCATGCCTGCCTCATGTGTCATCCCTTTTATCCTAAATAACACGCAATCGCATTCGCTCCATCACTCTTTCATGAGGGGAAAAGGAGAAATCGGAAATTTGAAAATTCAATGCTGAGGGTAAATGTTTGAGTGAATCAGAGTACGAGAAGCGAGGTTACGAGGTCACACGTGTAACATTCTGAGATGGTGTCAGTCCCAGGGGGACAAAGGTAGTACTTCCTTTCATATTTTCCGTCCCACCATTTGGAGAATTGCCTTGTAAATCTCGTAACGTCTGTAGGCTTCTTCCTTCGAGCCCTACAGTAGCCTAAAACGGTCTGATCCGCTTTTCAAATGATACAACTGACGAATACAGACTCTACTCTGCAGTTCATTCGAGGGGTTGAAGTGTATGCAAATCTCAACCCCAAGACAACCAAACATCACATACAATAGTCCCTTCTTCTCGCAGCAGCTTCTAAGTACCTTAAATGTAAAAATATTCAGGGAAATACTTTTGTAACATGACGTCCACGAAGCATTCAAATTTAGGTCATCATAAGGGCGTGGAAGAGTAGCTTCAGCCAAAATTCAACTTGTCAATTTCTTGAAAAAAAAAAATGAAAATGTGGGGAAATACATCCCATGGGAATACACCACGGACCATGTCGCCCAACTCTGCCGAAACACCGAGGAAGTTTCACTCAAGCCAAAGTTGGTATTACGAGAATAGTGAAGCCTAAAAGGGTGGGAAGAAGGGGGAGTGAGGGGGCAAGATCCGTCCGACTGAGCGGTTCCGTGTATACAGAGGTGGAGAAACCTTTTAGGGTACGAATTTGGTGCGACCCGAAACGCTCATCGTAACCGAACCGCGTCGGCCGACACCCTTGAACTTTAGAGCCATCGGGGCGTGCCGTAAACTTGGATGTATATCCACCAATACAAACTATAAAGGAACTTGGGAAGTTTAACAGATCGTGCAACATTTCGAGTCAAGTTCTTTTGGAAATTGATATTGTGGAAGGTTTAGGAGAGCATTGCTTCGCCGAATGCTTGTAATATCCTTCCTCGTGATTTGACCAAGGGATTGGTAATTGAGTGAAACGAAATGGGTCAGCGACACATTTTTTATGAGTATCTTAGATGGTGAGGGAGATAGCAAAATTTTTGTGACTGCCTTTCAAAAGGTCTTCCTAGAATTTTCACCATCTCCTTGGGAGATATCCCCTATAGAACAATTTGTGTCCGTAACCAAGGTTGTTCTTTTGGTTTCTATGCTCAAGTCCTTCTTCCTTTTCCATGAACCATAGATATAATATACGCATTTGGAAGCTCATTAAATAAGCTTTAAAATGACAACTGATTTGTCCAATTCTGAGAATTTTTCATTGACTTATGAGAGTTAAGGCGAAAATTGCAATATCATGTTCAACTTGAGAAATTAATTTTGGCGGGATTTGTCGATGCTCCTAAGTGGACTAGGCAGAGATGTCTATATATCATTTCAAAGAGCATTTACTATTCTTCAAAATGGTATATGGTAATTCTGATTTAATGTAATTTCCATCAAGTTATAGCAGATTGTTTCCATTTTTTACGTCATGTCACACGCCAAAAATGACAGTTTTTGCTATTTATCGAGGCTTTAGACTTGAACAGCGGGAATATATCATAAGTCAATACCCGATATTATGTATTCCATCCACTAGATCAATTATTATAAGCGTTAATGTAGCGATTTTAGCATGTCACGTTTTGAAAAATTCCGTGTTTTTCCTCTTAATGAGATTTGCTCAGTTTCTGTTCAAATATGTGAACATATCTTCTGTTCAGGTGAGAATATATTAGATTACCTTGAAATTGACCCGCGAATCATTTAAATATGGCCAATTTTCATTGATTATGGGAGTTTTCAATGACAAATTGAATTTTCATATTTTTTTAATAAATTGACGATTGCTTGAGTTTTTGTATATTTTGCAATGAAAATGAGCCAGAATATTCATATACCATATTAAAGCATAATTTCAAAATCAGATATGTTTGATGACCTTCAAAATGACCTTCAAAATGAGATATGTTTGATGAAATTATATTCAATTTTCATCGAGTTATCAAAGATTATTGCCATTTTTAACGTGACTCTAAAATTCACCTTCATTATCAATTATCGCGTAGCGTTCGTGAAGCGCTGCCTTCCGGCTGGAATGACAAAAAATATTATTGAATGAATGCATTATTCCACGTAACCTAACTAGCGCGCGTCTTTCCTAGTGTATTAAAAGTTAATTGAAAAGTGAAATCACTTCATCTCATTACATCATTCCAATGATGCCGCGAGACGAGACGAGAAACTGCACCTGCTCGTCTCGTTGTCAGGAAACCATTCTCTCGTCTCGTCTTATCTCGTCTCTATAATCCAAATTGCACGAGAAAAAAATACACAAAGGGGCAGAGAGGGGGAGGCTCTCGCCTCCCGTTTCTCTCGTTCTCGACCAGCTTTTCTCGTCTCGTCTCGTCATGTCTCTCGTCTCGTCTCGTTTCTCTCCCGTCTCGCGGCATCACTACATCATTCTATCAATCAATCAATGACTAACCTGATATATATGATGACCCCGTTGGTGCATATCCTCTTCCACCCGCGAGGTGCCGCAATTGACGCCTGTTGTAGCTGCTGCTGCTGCTGCTGTTGCTGCACCACACTACCGTTCATAGTCAGCGCAACATTGTTGCTATTACCCACATTAACTTGTGTCACTAAACGCGCAGCCTGCTGCACAGAAACACCAACGTTTACGTTATTATCACACGACTGTAAACTCTGACACTCAGGACTACTCAAACTGCTGCTATAAGCCGATTCACCCGTGTCAGATCTTACCGAATCACAACCACGCTCATTCGTAATAGCATTACGATTTTGCAGTTCTAATTCCGTACTGATGCGGTTCAACTTAATTCCGTCATCGCTCTGCTTATTAACTTGATTAGTGTCAATTACACCGTGATAAACACCATTATTAACAACACACTGTCTACCGTAATTTGTGTAGATATTGGTGTGTACCTCGTACTGTGAAGAATAATTTTTATCATCAGAATCATCAACAACAGCGCTACTTGGGAGCGCTGATCTAGTGGCCGATGCTGTTGCAACAACACCTGAGTCACTAGTACCACTCAAACTATCAGCATCACTGTGGGCTGGGCTTCTAGCGCTCCCAAGACTACCAGCGATACTCAGATTTCCCAAATCTATTTTTCCCGTATTACTGGGCGAACCAGTCGCCCCAATGTCATTGATATTTATCGTTTTACTACGATAACCGTTACCAAATTCATCATCATCCTGGGATAATTGAGACTGTTGTCCAGCAGTTAAACTGCAATTAATGTCAATTGTTTTTAGACAACAATCACTCTCCGTATCACCGTCAGTCTCTAGGTCATTACCAATTGATCCACCATCAATACTGTAATTAGTTTTGTATGCACCCGTATTATCCACCTGAGGCAGGACAATTCCTGGGTACTGATTTGTTTGCTGTTGTGATTGATTGCTCTGGTACAAACCATCGGCATTATGATCTACCGTTGTTGTATATGTAAAATTATCACTTGGTACATAAACAAGCACACTGTTCTCGTGTATATTCTGAGTATCGTTGTGTTGTATATTTGTACGACGATTGTTGTGATTATTTGATTGATAATGCGGTTGATAATGTGACTGTTGCTGTTGATGTACGTGATTCGGGGGAGCTGGGTGAGAGATTCGCTGCTCAGGCTTGCCGGCCATTGTCCAGGTCCAGCAGTGCAAGCCGCCGCGTCACCGACATCACTGGAACACACAGCGCACGCCACCGACCCTCCACTAGCCTCTGAGGCATCCTCTGGAAATGGGAACAATTGTTAATATTTCATCGGATGAAATGTTCCGCTGGACCGAGCCGATTAAGGATGTTTATCCGCGCGGAGGGGAAAGTTCTAGAAAAAGTACCAGTGGGAATTACGTAAAAATTACGTTGTTTGACGTAATTGTGATGCATTGCTACTGCTTCGTGGAGATCAGTGCTCTTTGCGCGCAGTTTTATAGAGTGTTTCGTAAAAATTGCGTTTCGACCCATAAAATTTACAGAACTCAAGGGGGAAAATTTATTTTCGCTCCGTCATACATATTTCTTCCGTGTGTTTAAGTAAAAAAAAATCTCAAAAGAGTATTTCCCCTTCCTTTTACGTTTTGCCATGGAATTTCCACCATTTTTTAGACTAATGGGGAATATACAAAACCAACATTTCTGATAATTGAATATTAATTGCAATAGCTATGACCAAATGAAATGAACAATTTTTTGTTATTCGAAGGCTCTTACGAGATTTATTTTCAACTTGATAATTCATTTACTGGAAAATAATTAATTCAATGGTCACCCAGATAAATAGTGTCGATATTGAAAACTCGAAGCTGCAATAACCGTATTCTGACATCTACATTCGTTGCATATTGTATATTTCATTTCAGAATAATCAAGTCGGGCTGGTGGATTAAAATTTTCATCGACATGGAGGAAATAAATCTGTTTATGAGTTGAAAAAAAAAATTTGAGTGCTACAGATTTTTCGTGAACATAGTTAAAGTAGTTCACACCTTAAATTTTGAAGATGAAAATCTGAAATAAATTCTAAACGGAAGTTGATATGAATAAAAACATTTTGCCTGAATTCGTGCTCAATTGACAGTCGAGTATTATTGATAATAATTAATTTAGAAGTCCCAAAATAACAGTCTTATGAGAAAATGAATAATTCGAGGTTAGAGAGAAGACTAACATATAGAAAAAAACTTTAAAAAATTAGAAAAAAATGAATAAGAATTTTATGCCTAATATGAAACTCATCGTTAGTATCAAACTATTTGTGACAAATAATTCATTTAAATTTTGAAAATAAACTAAAGTTAAATTGCCCTAAGTATGAATTTGAGAATGATAATAGTGATAAAGAGATAAATAATTGAGGGTGAAATCAAATTTTAATTTTTAGGTTGTTAGAAATACTACAAATGACTGATTTATGTCATTTGTTGATGAGGATATGTGTTGTAATATAGATGGAACAGATTAAGTAAGGTTGGTAAATTAAATTTTGTTTTAAATTTTGATCATGTTGCAATATTTATTCTGCCTTGAAATATTTATTTATAACATTGTATTTTGTTGATTACTGTAGATGAATAAATTTGGCCCTGAAGAGGAGTCCTTTCCACACTCGAAATATTGCTAGTTGCTAGTTTTCGATTAATTATGTTAGTTACTGCTGGATATGACCGCACAATGGCCTACGGAAGGAGTTTTCTTTGATAATTAGAAGCCGTTGATAAATGATTAATTATAAATAAAGTATGTTTCTGGGTAGCCCAAATGTCCTAAACAAACGAGCAACTATTCTTTAAGAGAATATTTGTAGAGAGAATTTAATGGATCAATTTTTTACTCTCATCAAAAACAGCATTCATAGTACTCATGTAAGAAATTATCAATGAAGAATAATTTTTTTAAATTTATTTTTTGTCACTACATTCAACGACTTATGTGGGGTTTGGATATATAATACTACCTTAAACCTGCAAGTTTACAGAATTTTATATACTTCAAAAATTATACTTTTCGATAAACAAGAATGTGTAACAATTAATTATCCTGAAGAGTATTCAAATTCGAATAGCTAATAATCCTTTGAAATTTCCTCATTGATGCCCAGAGCATCGTTTCCCATCGTCAGTTGAACGTATACTTGGAATCATCCAAAATAATTATCAAAGGCGTGAAACTAAGTTTATGGATTGTCTCATTCATTCATACACCAAGCGATAATTTTATTGGATTTTGATTATGGGATTTTTTCACAATTCATGTTGCTCCTCGAATTTTACGAGTATTGTCGACGATTCAGGCTTTATTCACGCTCGCGCTTTCTCTTTTCATTTCACAGTACCCTCGGGCTATCAGTCAATACTCGAAACGAGGCCTCGAAGTAAATTACGTATGATGAGAAATTGAATGGGGATAAGACGGTTTATTCAATAAGAAAGTCGGGAGCTCTTCGTCAGTAGATTTTATGAGGGATTATTGCTAGTTTTATCGACAATACTACGTGTAATTAAAAAGAAATGAAACAACGTGATATTCACAATAATATTTACGCAAGTTTTTAGACTCGTTTATATCCACATTTGACATCGTAATCAGTTGTCTTAAATCTCTCTAATTCAGTGGAACAGTACATCTGAGGAAATTTATATGAAATGGGTTGAATTCCATTGAAATTAACGTTGAAATTATGATTCCGTGAATTAAACATCACTTGCAAGGCGAATGCTTGTATCATTGAGATAAAAGATTTAATTATCAGTGGGAGTTGAAGATTCAATTGAAATATTGTTTACAATTTATGTTGGATTATCATCGCGGCATATTACGTTACGGTGGATTGAGAGCTGGGGCAAGGTCATGTTCGATCAAGTTGACAGTTCAACCGCATGAGCTAAATCATCACAGAGATAAAACGGTAACGAGACGTTATACACACGCGAGAGACTGCGGTGTATGACGCGCCAGACGAGACAAACAACACCGGGCAGATGTAACACGAGGAGGTTAGAGAAGGACGGGGAAAAAAACGGAAAAAATGTGATAGAAGAGACAGAGGATGAGAATTAAAAAAAAAAATAGGGTCACGAATGCAATAAATGTATTTACCTATGGCGTAACAGCTTGTACCGTGCATTGGATGCATATGTACGAACTGAGTCGTGATTAACAAATCCCGTTGACATTACACACGCGAATTATATACATTAATTCGTAAAACCGTGGGATTTTCTTTTTTAAAACATTCAAATTCTATTTTCACTCTTTTTTCGTGGGTTTAAAACATATCCATCACGCAATATTTCACTTTGAAAAAAAATAAAAATAAAAACTATTTTTTATTATTCGATCGATTAAAACCTCCACTCGCGCTTCATTAATTGAATCAACGTTGAAAATCACTGATACACTCCACACCAGAGACAACAATTGTCATCTCAATTCTCCTGATGATTGAAAATCAAAACGGAGCACACACGATTGTAATGAACAGTCACTTCAAGATCGTGACGAGAACGGTGAAAATACTTTCATTATACGTTTCCTCGACTCTTGAAATAATTCGTTAATCCCAGATCCACACAGAATCGGTGGGTATCAATCGCTGAATTACACGGGGACATGCAAGAGTGTCGTGTTATGACGTCTGTGTCATCGTCACAGCAGCCGAATAATCACTACCGACACAATCATTCTCACAACTATAACCATTCCCTCCAGTAGAAACAATTTTTCCAATCACTATCACTTGAAAAAAATTATAAAATAACAATATAAAACCACTGTAACGCCTCGCCGGGTATTCAAACTCCACGGGTTAGAGTTAACTAACCCTCTAACGTTGTACTACTACTCTGAACACCTGCGCGGGCCAACAGCGCTCGACAATTTTTTTTTCTACTTCTCCTCTTGACTTCTTCTTTACTCTTTATTTTTTCATTCTCTACCGAAACACACACTTCCCAAAATTCACCGTACTGTATATTATTTATTTTGAAATAAAACACGCATGATTATTATTATTGTAAACGACACACGATCACACGTCAAGGCCACCTCGAGTGGGCCCCACGAATGCCTCAAACACGTACTAACGTGTATCGCTGCCAAGTAACCGATAAAAATCCCATCCCAGTAGTGGCCCCAATGCCTATACGTGCGCTGTTTTCGCGTAACTGATATTGGAAAAATATGGCTCCCTCTGCGTACCCAGAGACCCTTGCGGCATCTTGGAGCGGCTGCTTACTACACGGGATATACGGAAAATATGGTGATCATTGTGAAAACATCGGGTCGACGATGGAATTTCTCGGGTCAGCGCCATCTCCTGGATTTCATCGGAATTTCGCGGATTTATTTAAGATGACGCCGGTTAGCTGGCGGGAATTTTAAAAATTATATTTCACATTCGTCAACGTCAACACGGCATTTTCTTGACAAATGGACTGATTGAATAGAATCGATTCCCTTCATTTTTTGACATATGATATTTGGATTAAGACCTTGTCTAGAGAAATTGTAATCCTCACATTCTAATTAGACGACTTAAAGATGGAATTGTCCAAAGTTTCAATGGACATTTCTATTACGTGTTGTGCAATCTGAATTCCACCTTGTACTCTTAAAACATGAAAATTTCTAATTAAGGATATCCAAATATCTTTTACAGTTTGGTACAGATCACACTATAGATTCAACCATTTTCAATCCTCAAATTAGTCAATTAAATTGCGTGAGAAAAATTTGAACAAAATCATGAATATTTGGCGACATTCAAATTACATTTTGCACAGGATTATTTTTTTTAACATTCTTTGCTTATAAATGAATAGCTGAAATTGTTTAAACTTTCGGAAACTTTAGTTTTTAGACATGAAATCGATTTCTGGTAAAATTCTAAATTTGAATAAATTTGTTACGATTCCGAACAAGTGATTTTTGTGGTGGGAAATTCATTGTTTATAAATTATTTAAAGAAAACGCTCGTAATTTTCAAAAATTGCAATTTTTACATTCTTACATCCATCTTCCTCCAAAAGTAAATTTCCTAATTTTTTTTAGATATTTAAATTATTTTCTAACGGTTCAATATTGAGATTGAAACTCAAAGCTGCCAAATTTAAACAATAGAATCGTTGTAAATTGTCCAGAAACATAGGGTCAAATGGGGCTCAAATGAAAGCATGGTAGAAAAATGATTGTTGTACTGATTGTTGTCTTGTTGTTTATTAATTATTTATAGAAAATGCTCGTAATTTACAAAATTGTAATTTTTACATTCTTTCATTAATGTACCTCCAAAAGTAAACTTCCTAATTTTTTTTTAGATTTCTAAATTGTTTTCTAGCGGTTCAATATTGAGATTACAATTCAAAGCTCGAAAATCTAAATAATAGAATCGTTGTAAAACGTCCGGAAACTTAGGGTCAAGTGGAGCTCAGTTGAAAGCTCTGATGTTCAACTGCAAAACTAGAAAAGCATTTCATTGGAAAAAGTATAGCCAAAGTAGGATATAGCCAAGTAGGATATCCTAAATAGTACGTAATTTGACATGTATAATTCAAGCACGTGCAATTTAAGAAAGACAAAATCCATAACACTCGCGCTCGGATTGGCGGATTTTGTTTTTCTTGAAGTTTTCATAATCAAATTATATCTGTCTGTACTCTTGTTCTTATTTTTGGTCAATTTATCAACTATCGGAAACACTTGCAAACGAGAAAAGATAAAACAGAAAAGGACATTGCATATATTTCTGCAGCATTTTGCAAAAATTCATGAAATGTTCTTTGATTGTCACTAAGGAAATTGAAAATTCAACTTTTAGGTATTTACGACTGACTTGAATGCGAAATGAGTTCCTGGAAACTTTAGGAATTCAGTAATTGCTTGATAAATTATTGGAAATGTCATTGCGTAAATAACTTCAATAGCCCTGATAGCAGACTTTCCCTGCACTACGCGGTATCGAAAGTCACAACGACAAATTGCTGATAAATGGTCGATATCAAGCTATCTCGGAATCGAGTAATTAAATTACAAGTGATGTAACGAATCCATGATCAATCAAGCGGAAATCGTTCAAAGAACTTTCTTCGGAGTACGTATACCAAAAAGTAGAGATAACGGATTAAATTCAAGAAATTTATTTTCAATTAATCCAGAGGTGAATCCAAACGAGTAAAGCTGATTATTCCAGAAATCGTTGATCATATTTATTCCGCACCTGATCAAATGAGTGTGAATCCCAATTAAGAACTCAATCTACAATCTTTTTAATGGAAATGTGAATTTATTTCAATATTAAAATGACATGGGTATAGTTTTAGAAAATCCTCCCCAGGAAATGGGTGTGTGAGAGGAGTTCAATAACTGAAGTAAATAAAAATGATAGTTCATGAATGGGTCATAAGTCATTCATACTGACGAATTCGCTACGATTTTCAAGTAGTACGAACATAACTCGAATTTTGAAGATCAAAATCTGAAATTAATTTCAAACGAAAGTTAATATGAGCAGAAACAGGTTGAGTTTGTGCTCATTCCACAGTCTAGTATTATTGATAATAATCATTTTAGAAGTGCCAATTAATACAGAGTTATGAGAGAATGGCCTTTTCAATTTAAATAAAAATCTAGGAAAAATAAATTAACTAATTAACTTGTAAAAACATTTAAAAAAGTTGAAAATTCTGTGTTCAATATAAAAGTTGTAGACAGTCTTAAAATTTTTTTTACAAATAAATCATTTTCATGGGTGTCCTGAATTGAAGAAGGAAGTGCTTCGCTTTGAAAGTGAGAGAATATTCATTTTAAGAGTTTGTTTGAAAAAAAAAATTATGGATCAATTTCTTGAACTTATCAAAATTAAAATTCATAAAAATAGATCAATAATGAATAATTATTTTTGTGGACATTACAAATTTATTTTTCCTTGTTACACGCAATGACTCAGCTGGTTTGTGCTCATGCTACTTTAATATGAAAAATCAAGTTTCTTTCATACTACGTACCTCAGCGCTGGCCTCTACGAAGAGACATAACCAGTGCAAATCAGAGAAATAAAATCCCATAAAGAAAAGGAAGTTACTAATTTTGAAAAAAATAGATTCAAGAAATTCCTTTCATTAATATCGATCATTCGCCGGATGATAAAATAGTGTAGTTTTGTCTCGTTGTTTAAGAAAAATCAAAACTTAATTATTCTTTTCATCAATTTTGGATTGAATTCAAAAATATTCTTCCTAAAATCGCCCCCGTTTTGTCTAGTTTTCAGATTTTAATTTTAGTAGTCTGAAAGAACGGTAAGGTATGATACAATACCTTCCGATCTAAAAAAACTTCCATTTGCTCATCTTGTCATAAAAATCCCTCAAGTTAATCCAAATTTCAATGATTACTTTCAAATTTATAGAAGAAATTCGTTGAAAACTCGTTTCTAGAATTTCCACCTCAAATTCAAACAAGGCAAAGGAAAAAAAAAATTTCCTAAAATAGTCGTTTTTTCTAGATTTCTGAAAATTTCAATTTTAGTAGCCTGGAAGGACGATAAACTATGGGATAATACCTTACCGATCTAAAAAAAAATTCCATTCGCTTAACTTTTCATAAAAACGCCTCAAATTAATCAAAATTTCAATAATTACTTTCAAATTCATCGCAGAAATTCGTTGAAAACAGGTTTCTACAATTTTCATCTCAAATTCATGGAAATTTTCATAAATAATTTGAACATTTGTCTTTTTTGTGATGAGCAACGTACCTACCTTCCCTTATAATCCAACTTGAAAAGAAGATGAATAATTGGTTGTAGTCTGATTGATAAATGTGATAGACAATAGTAAAACAACAATTGCTCACAATAGCTTTAAGTGATTAATATTCAACATTCAGAATAAAATAAAAATCTTGGCATACAAGAATAAAAAAAATTGAGACTGCTCACAGAAGAATTGTGTAAAAAGTTTATCGGTAAAATCAGTTGAAAAAAATAATTTCATTCACTTCGCAAAATCAAAAAGGGATTTATTATACATATTAACCAGTTTTATTTGCATCGAGGGCCAAACAATTGCTCTAATACTCCATAAGTAAATTAAATAGTGAAAAAGGATCAAAATATTACCTATAATTACTGTGGTGCGACGATATATTCGAAGCGACAACAGAATCAATCACCGATGAATCATAAATAAGTTCTATAGGAAACCCTAAGATGAGTTACAAATTAAATGGATCAAGTTTCGCTGAAGGGTTCAAAGAGAAGCACAACGTGAAAATTCCTCGACAATAAGTTATTGTTTCTTTACACCGCAGAGATATTCCTTCTTCATTCTGTTCCTCGCCAGTGAATATTACGCTCGGAAGAAATAATTAATACAATGGTAGTAGTATGCCATTTTCTTCATTTTATAGATTACAGATATTAATCAGTTGATTTTTGTTTAATTTAAATCCCTCTCATTCCTCAATTGCAATGATTCCGTTTTACGACAGAAGAAACATACCATCCTTCTCATTAATGTATGACGTATACAATGTATTCGTGACTCTTGATAAATTAATTAGTGTAACGAGTACAAAGTATATATATATAGTTACAATCGTTTTCACATCATTTTATTCTTGAAAACATTTCAAAAATCGAATGAATCGTGTAATTTGTTTTTACGACATGAGTTAGACTATTTAATTTCTAATTACATGGAGACCTGGGCCGACCTTGGAATGAATCACCATCTTTCCATAGTTAAATTAATGATTTTTCATGCTATGGTTAAAGCTCAGCGGCTAGTCAAGTATTCTCACTCCGATGATAAAAGCATGCCTAAAAATATCTTTATTCACTCTCCTGTTATTTCATTATTATTTTCCTTTTTCTATTAAAGAAACAACCTAGGGGATCAGTAATTGGCAGATTTCACCGCCGAGCCACAATGATCTTTTCCTAAGTTCTAAACTTAAAAGATACCAAAAAGGGGGAAAACAAATCATTGGATGACGTCACTGAATCATTGTCCCGTGATTTTTTAATTTTCATTGATTCCATTTGTAAACGAAATTCGAATGTGGGAGGAACATCCAATAATCGGTAGTGGGATCAATTCGACGACGCAGAGCACTATTATTCGACTGACTGACCACTTAATGTTTTTTTCTCTTGTTTTATTGAAATTCAATAAATTCACCTAAGGTTGTTTTAAATAATCAGAATGCCGAGTGCACATTTTGTTGTGTTATTTTTTTTCTACAGTTTAGTCGTAGGCTTCATAAGGAGTGAAGCCAGTTCGGCCTGTCATTCGTGATTGAATCATTACAAACGGTTGTTCAATTTTTTTCCTTATTTCTCATGTCTTTGATGTGAATTCAACAGCTGAGGAAAAAATAGCAATGAATATGCAGTTTTTGGAGATGGTGTTTTGTATGTGTGTGTGTGTATGAATGACAGGGTGTTTTAGCTACGGAAATTGCCAATTTAATGTAGCAATTCATGATTAATCGTTCCTGATTACTTTTTTCCTCCAGTTTTTTATACTTTGTGGCCATGAAGAACTTTTTGGAATTCAATTTCATTGAAATAAAACGGTAAATCGATCATTTTTAGACTATTCTACTTGCTCATGTTTTGGATACAATTTTCGATTTTTGTAATGAATTTTCATAATTTGTTTCCCCTTCCCTCAGCTGCTGAATTGTCAATTTCAGTTGAATATCATCTAATAATTATGATGTAGATCCTGGACGTCCATAACTCATCATGTATCGACTTAATCCATAAAACACTCGTCAGGATAAATAATAAGTTGGATCGTTGATTCATTATTGTTTGTTGGTTTATCTTTTGGAATTAAAAAGTGGTCTTAATTTTGTATTTTGCGTTAACATTATTACAAATTTGAATTAGTGCGTTGCGCATTGGACTCGGGATGAGCCTTTGTCCTCGTCATACGCCTCGCCGCGCTCTCGTTGCTCCTGGGCATCAGCGATAGGGTCAAAGTCCTCGAGAAGTACCTCTTCAGCTCCATCAGGAATTATTGTATGATCACGTGGGGGCAGAATTTGCTCGAGTTTCGATACAATTGCTGGGTCAATTGTTTTTGGATACTCGAGAGTGAAATGAATTGTGAGTTTGCCACGTGTGAATGGATCGCGATAAACTGGCATTCCTTCATTTAAAACACACTTGAGATCACCGTGCTTCACTACATTTCCGGGGAGAGATGTTATGAGAAGATCTCGATCGTCGAGTGTACGCACGATTTTCTGGAATCCACAGAGTGCCTCCACAAGGTTCAGAGTCATTGTCATCAGAAGATTGTGTCCTGAACGTCTGCAATGGATGGTTATCAATTAATTATGGCTTAATTCAATATCAATTTAATTATCGAACAAATTATCTTCCCATTCAACACAGAAAAAGGAACTCTAGTCCCTGGAGATGAGTAATTTTTTTGCGAAAATTTATTATTTTTAATAAACGTTTGGAATAAATAATTCATTTTTCTGTGTGCGCTGAAATTGCCATGCCACTGAGAAATAAATATTTATGAATGTACAGAGTTGTCACTGATCGAAACACCCTAGTCAAACGAGTCACTATTACCTAAAAAAATAATTTAAGAAAGAATTCGATGGATCAATTTCTTGCATTCATCAAAGTTAGAATTCACGTAGAAAATTATCAATGATGAATAATTATTTTTTTGAGCTTTTAAATTTGTTTTCCTTGTTACTCTTAAGGGTGCAGGAGAGCTGTGGGCAGGACATGGGGACTCAATCCTAAAATGATGCTCTGGCTCTACCAAATAGTTCTACTTCCGAGACTGTTATACGCTGCGGTCGTCTGGTGGCCGAGGGTGAGTAAGACGGAAACAAGGAACCTGTTGAAAAGCCTACAGGGAACCTTCCTGAGGGCTGCAACAGGAGCCATGAAATCGACACCTACTGAGGCGCTAGAAATAGCACTCAGTATCCCACCCCTCGACCTTAGGGTTGTGAGTTGTGCTACCACAACTGCATATAGACTAAGGTGCCAACTAGAATGGAAGATGACGGGCCAAGGCCATACAAGGCTTAGCCTAATCAATGATCGACCCTTCATAGGTAAGACGGATAGGATTCCTAGGAAGTATCAGATCAGGAAAACTTTCAGAACGAGTATACCACCCAGACAGGAGTGGCTAGACTCGAAACGTAAACCAGGACCAAGAGAGGACTACTGGTTTACGGACGGCTCTGGCTTCAATGAAAGTTTTGGGGCAGGCATCTACCGTCTGAAAGATGGCTTCGGAGAGAGTTTTCCGCTGGGCCATCATTCAACCGTCTTTCAAGCAGAGATGCTGGGCATACTTAAGTGTGCAGAGTATCTGAACGCGAGAGACACAAAAAAGATGAAAATATTCATCTGCAGTGACAGCCAGGCGGCGATACACGCCCTGGAAAAACCCACTACAGAGTCACAGGTGGTGTGGGAATGCATGCAGGCATTGGACACACTGGGTAAAAACAACCGGGTCATCGTAACCTGGGTGCCAGGTCACCATGGGATTCTGGGTAATGAAGAGGCAGATAAGCTGGCCAAGGAGGGTACAGAAAGGGTGCCCTCACACGGCCTGCTTGGCATGCCCTTCGCAGTGGGAAAAACTCTTATTAAAGATCATTTCCAGCGGGATCATGTTAGACGTTGGGAGAAAGTTGCGACCTCCAGACAAGCGAAACTGCTTATGAGAGGGCAACTAAGAGTTAGGATCAGAAAGCTTCTGGAGCTGCACAGAGGGGATCTGAAGGTAGCAGTAGGGCTCTTTACGGGTCATACAGCTCTCAGAGCTCATCTGTTCAAGATGAAACTTGCAGGACAAAAAGACTGCAGACTGTGCGGAGGCGATAAGGAGGGCGTCATCCACATTTTATGTGAATGCCCCCTATTAGCACTCCGTCACTATAAAATCTGGGGCCAGGCTTTCCTGNCAGCATTGGCTCTTATGAGGTTATGCACTAAAATAAAAGATTGGCCAATTTAGAGATTCATGAAAAATCCCGAAAAATATGGAAAAAATGTTTTAAAAAAGCTGAATCGATTGATCCGGGCGAAATCAGGGAAACCGGGGCAAATAAGAACGAAATCTTAATTTTTCGACTCACTTCCGGGGAAAAAAATCACTCGTAGCAAAATGGATGATACGTCCCCCGTTAACATAACCCTACCTGTCACTCACGATAGATGTTTTTTCAAAGTGAATTTTAGGATTTCAAACGTAATTATTAATCAATGAGACTCGAATGGTGTTTATAAGTGAATTTTTAAACGAATTGTGCGAAAGAACATTGGTCTCAGGATCTACTCATCTCGGGAAATCATTTCAATGGATCTTGTTATGGCTAACCAAATGTCAAAAAAATTTTTACATTTTTGCAAGATAAACTGTCCCTTTTGACACGCAATAAATTTTTATTTTTGTCTGAGGCCATGGTTTGTTCACAGGCATGTATAACCTCCAACACACGCTCGAATATTAACAAACCCTCGCGCCTCTACCATCAGCTGACATCAGCGGTGTTGCCACNAAAAAATTTTTTACATTTTTGCAAGATAAACTGTCCCTTTTGACACGCAATAAATTTTTATTTTTGTCTGAGGCCATGGTTTGTTCACAGGCATGTATAACCTCCAACACACGCTCGAATATTAACAAACCCTCGCGCCTCTACCATCAGCTGACATCAGCGGTGTTGCCACGATTCCCACCGGATATCACCATATAGTCAATAAAACAAATATTTTTTGGTCGAAAAAATAAAAAGAAAATTTTACATGTATTAGATCCCAACTCAATTTGAATATAAATTGCCGAGATGAATTAAACAAGTTAACACAATTTATTATGCAAGATTTTTGAAAAAAATGATCAATTTAGTTGTGCACTTGACCCACTTGGCATCCTTAACGACTGAACTGGAGTTTATTCACACTGCATTAAGGAGAAACCGCGGTAAAATTTGAAAGTTGCACGGGATCATCTCTATGATACAGGTGTCTTTGGTACTTTTTTTTTTGCTCAAAAAATTACAAAAAATCAAGTTTTAGTTTTTTCCAATGGCAGCTTGTGGCTGTACAAGCATAAAACGTTCCAACTAGTCCCCTTATCAGGATTTTTTATGGATTGACCTGGATTTTGATTTCCACGAACATAATATATTGACGAAAAACAAAATGTGAAAAATATGTAGAAATACAGTATTTGGCGTTTCTACAGGTTAAAACCATATTGATACCAGAACTTGATTTATTTAAACTAAAAATTGTCAGTCTAAGTTGCCATAATCAAATGTTGCATTTCTATTGGTTGACATTCAGATGGGGGAATTATCAGTATTATTATTTGCTTTAGAAAGAGAAGTCGAAAAATGTTGTTCATTGTCCGGAAACTTTCCAACAAGAATATGTCTTGTGATTTTAGTCTAAAATCTCTCATCAGTAAGGGAATGTTCTCATCAAAAATATGCACTGAGAGAAAGATGCAGTAAAACAGACGGATTATTGTTTGACTCAGACGCTAAGTACTTTTCAATAGTGCCAAAGAAACAATCCATTGGCGATACGGAATGTGTCGTCACTTTCTGTCGATTGCATGATTAAACTGTATCCTCAAATAGTTGATTCTGAGGGCCCAAACATGAGACTTATGATTCAATCTAATGAGGGCTCTAATCGATCATATATTCCTTCGTATTCCCTGAATATTTCAGTAGCGAAGTGGTAAAACGGTATAAGTAAATTTTGACTATTTTCCAGTTTTCAATAAATATCTCGAAATCTAAGGGAAATAGCAAAATTTTTATTATAACGTTTTTTGTAGAACCGATTGAGAGCTACAACAAATGTAATTACGAAAATTCCACTATCTCCCTTAGATTCGGAAATATTCCTCTAAAACTCAACTGGGAGATAAGTCGACTTGAACCGTTTTACCACTTCGCTACTGATTTCATCGAATTTTAATAGTTATTTGAATGCATCACTTTCCGTCAATCTGAAACCTTAGTGTAGGCAACATTAACGGAATCGTATTCAATAAAATATTTTGCATGAAATAATGCCTCATTTTCGAAGCAATATTCCGTTATTTACGCTCTCTAAGGAATCCACTATTGAAATGAAGAATTAGAACGTTAAAACAATGAAATTCTATTTCGATACGAAAGAACATGCATCCAATAACATATACAGTCAAGGCTTTATATAAGATACCTTAGGGACAGTAGGAGAATGGAATTCCGGGAATCCGTATACCCGGGAAAAATAGGGATCAGCGGTTTGAAATAAGATACCTCACTCGTTGTGCCCGAATTCTATGGAGTATTCATTTTTACTAAATGGATGTTGATAACTAATCAATTTATATGAGTTTAATATTTTGAATTCGTATAGTCCGCATTCCCTTTTCTCTCTAAACATAATTCTGCGTGACAGAATGGCTGATGTTGGGGGATTGTTGGGGGACTTGAGAATAATCACTTCTGGACAGCTGAGGTATAAATTATTGAAAGTACATAAATTAATTGAATTTTAATGAGGCTTTATTCTATTAGGATAATTCTGCGTCATCATTTTAATAATTATAGCGCCGAAGAAAAGAGGTGACCCTTGGGCTCGTTCAATCCTTCTGGTTGCGTCACTTGACTCACACGTTTGAACTCTTGACCCTTAAGGTTATTTGACCCTTATGATTACTTCGTTCGTCCATCCCGTTTGACTCTTAACTCCGTTTGATTAGTATAATCACTCTTTTCCCGTTGAAAAATCAGCGAGGCCATAGGTATCTTATAAGCAGGGATGGGCAATAATATTAGATTTTGACAAAATTAACCCTTCAGAACTCGCGCTATAAGCGCCGCGCCGCCTTTTTCAAATTTTCGCTTGCCTCTTGCAAAATTGAGCTTTCAAAAAATTGAAAAAATTAGAATGCCTAGCTTGAATCATTTAGAATGGATTAGCAAGGTTCTTATCCGCTGAAAATCCATCAAGGCTACGAAAAATAATAAATTGTTGAGGCTCATACGCAAAAGCGGCGCCGTGCCGCCCAGCGCGAGTAACGAAGGATGTAAAATTTTCAATTCCGCTGTTGCTGTTTCCCGCTCGCCGCACGCTTGGCGCGTACCTATGAACGTGACAACGCTACGTTACTGAAAGCACGGGCGGCGCAGCGCTCAGCACGCGAGTAACGAAGGTCGGTGGCTGAGCGCGAGTTCTGAAGGGTTAAAAAGGAATTATCTCCTGTGTTGTTCAAAGTTTAACTATATTTAACAAATTTAAAATATTATCAAATTTATTAACTAAATTTTCCGATTTATGGTGAATAAAATATTTGATAATATTGAAATGTAATTTTTAGTTAACAAGCTAATTCTAAATTTCGGTACTTGATTTTCGATTATCCAAATAATCGTCAATCTCCCTACCTAAATTATTGGTTGATAGAATATTTCGAAATTGAAATGTACAAATTGATGGTTTATTTGATATTTAAAATTTCAAGATTTATGTTAAAAATTGATAACTTCACAATTTAACGGTAATTATGATTGATTGATATGCCTATCACTGCTTATAAGAAGCTCACGGAACTAAACATTCGAGAGGCGATAAAAGTACCGAGAGTGGGGTAGGCCTCGAACGCTCGGAGCTCGAGGTATCTTACAGAGATCTTATATATCTTATATAAAGCCTCGACTATATTCCGTAGAAACTACGATGTTTTTCGCTCAGTGTGTGAAATTCAATTTCGAGCGTTTGGGAAATTTAGCTGAAATTTAATACTCACTTGAATGTAGGATGCTCCTTCTCGTCAAGAATGATAATGATATCGCCCGGCTCCAGTCCCGGCTCTTGGTCACCCTCACCACTGAACACTATCCTCTGCCCATCAACCATACCCTTGTCAATATGCACCTCCAAAATCTTCCGGTCCCTGATAGTTTTCCTTCCAGTACACTGCTTACAACGATCTCGTGATGCAAAGTATTCTCCCTGTCCTTTGCAGTTGGTGCAGGGTCCTCTGATCTGCTGAACAACTCCTTGGCCAATTGGAGTAATCTGTACAATCATTCCGGTACCGTGACAGGTGCTACATTGCTGCGCCGAACCTTTCTTGCCTCCGTATCCTGATTTCATAATAGAAGAAAACAATTCAGATGGATTCGTATATATACACCCGCGGACAGACAGCTTTGACAGATAGACGTTATAATATTTGAAAGTTTGAATACTGGGGAAATTTTGTTATTAAAATTTTTTCCAAGTGACAGTTCCTCTGAAATTTCAAGGAATGGAAAGTGTAAATTTTCACTGGAATTGGAAATTTCAGGATTTTTTCCTCCTGAATCGAATTCACTCCAGTTCTCCTGAAAATTACCACTATCCTGTCTATCAAATTGCAACAATGATTGTATTGTTACGTATTTGTTCTATCTTTCCCTCTCAACCACATTCAAGTGTGAGCGTTGTCATTCTTTTATCAAATGTCTGATTGCCCGGACGTGTCGTTTAGTTCTCATGTTTTATTTATGTCTTTCGCGCCCTAAATCCCGTCAATAAACTAATTAATTAATAAATAGACCCATTTCGTTACAATATAGGGGAGGTAGGGGCAAAGCGGACCCTCTAAGCGAATCGTTTAGTTTTTTAAATTCTAATGAGTCAATGCACTTCACGTGGAGATCATAATCTCATTAGAATTGCAATTAAGATCTGTCATTAAATTTAAAAAAAAATTAATGTTGGGGCAAAGTGGACCCTCTGTTTTTTTAAAATTATTTTAATTTTCCGTTTGTCAGGAGTCATTGTCATGTTGTTCTACCGATTGGATAGAATGTAATCGCTGTCGATCAAAAACTCACATTTTTTGTTCACAATTAGATCCGCAGGAGCTCACACAAATTTATACTTGCCCTCATTGCATATTTTTTTAGTCAAGGTAGTAAATTTCACTTTATAAAACGTATTAGAATAATTCTGGCGACTCGATTCAATAATTTATGTGAGGGTCCACTTTACCCCACACTTTTTTTTTTCGAAGGGGTCCGCTTTGCCCCGGGGGTCCGCTTTGCCCCTACCTCCCCTATACGTTATTCCACTAAATATTGTACGGGACTCCGGCGTTGAGATTCCCGGTATTTTTTATTGTTCTGGTTAAATGAAATGAGATTTCGTTATACAAGATCTTTCGATCAATGGGAGTCTACATAATTGAATGATTTCATCATAAAATTTACCAATTCAATTGAATGCCTTAAAAAAATTGAAAATACAGTTTTCAACCATAACTTTTCTGAATTTTTTGAAAATGGTGGTCAATTTGCAGTCACATGTAATTTTCACTATGTTTATCATCATCTTTTGCTAATCAATGTTTTTTTAAAAGAATCAGAAAATTAGCCATGGGAATTCCATTGCAGAACTTTTCGCTCATATCTCCTTCAGCCGCAAGAACCTTTTAATAAAAATTCGAAGATTGATTATGCATGATTCTAGTGTCTATTGATACTAATACCCATGTTGAAAAACCTTGATAATACATATGAAATGGGATTCAATGGTTCGATAGCCAATTAAAAATGAATAATAATTCTTTGGACCCACCTTTCAAATACTTTTTATTTCACAACCCAACAAAATACGCGAGGGTTGCGGCCGGAGGATAAAACCGATGCTACTCGATAGTTCTTACGATGCAGAATCTAAATTTGTTTGTAAAAATACGCTCAAACATATTGCTACTGAGAATAGTATATTTCGATACAAGTGCGACGGCGTGGCAATGAGTGCGAAGTTGGCGGCCCGAGGCGAAGCCGAGGGCTGCCAATCACACGAGTTAAAACACCCCGTCGCACGTGTATCCGAACTATATTTTTTGTTAGTGATGTTACTTTCAGCGAGTGCCGAACTGTGCCATTTTTCGTTTACTAGTAAACGAAAAGTCGAAACTTGTAAACGAAAAGACTTCGTTTACTAGTAAACGAAAAAGCACTTTTCGACACGGGCTGAACGTAGCAGCAGTGACAAAAAATAAATTTCAATATTAAGAAAAACCTGGAAAGTTTGTCACATTAAGAGGATACTACTATGAGTTTTTAAAGTCTCGGGCTATTGGAATGAGATTTCTCATACATTGAAGATCGATTATATATGTCTAGAAAGGAATAATTAGTGCAAAAAAATTATTTATTGTTCGTTTGTCCCGCCGATGCTAAAAATATTAAAAATAGTCCAGTGCCTGAAATTTTTGAGCTACAGAGGTTTTTTTTCAAAATTTTTGAAAAAATGTGGGCAATTAGTTGTTTGAAATTCGACTCCTATACAGCTAATTTCGTTATTTTTTAAATAAAAAATTGCACTATTGATATAAAATAGCTCGAAATATGATTGTGAAAGAATCGATAAAAAATTTTTTAAAAAAAAAACCTCTGCAGCTCAAAAATTGGAGGTCCTGGACTATTTTTAACATTTTAAGCGCCTGTGGGGCAAACGAACAATAAATAATTTAAATTGCACTAATTATTCGTTGTTAGACATATATAATTGATTTTCAATGCATGAGAAATCTCACTTCAATAGCCCGCGACTTTTAAAACTCATAGTAGTCTCACCTTTAAAAAATTAAACTTTAAGGATATCCAAGTACTTTGGCTATTTTTTCTCCAGTGAAATGCTTTTCTTCTTTTGTAGTCGAACATCAGAGTTTTTATTTGAGCTCCATTTGACCCTATGGGGAAATATAGGGACAAATCCCCAACATTTTACAATGATTTTATTATTTAAACTATGCAGCTCTGAATTTGAATTTCGATATCGAACCATTAGAAAACATTTTGAAAATCTGAAAAAAAATTGGAAAGTTTACTGTTGGAGGAAGATCGATGAAATAGTTTAAAAATTGCAATTTTTTAAAATTACAAGCACTCTATTCATAATTTATAAACAAACAATTTTCCACCACATAAATCATTTCTTCAGAATCGTAACAAATTTATTCATATTCAGAGTTTTCCCAGAAATTGATTTCATGCCTAAAAAAATAAGGTTTCCGAAAGTTTAAACAATTTCAGTTATATATCTATAATCAACTAATGTTTTACAAAATAATAATTCTGTGCAAAATGTAACTTGACGCTGAATATTCACGATTTTTTTAAAATGTTCCTCAGGCAACTTGATTGACAAATCTGATGATTGAAGATGGTTGAATCTATAGAGTGGTCTGTACCAAACTGTAAGATACTTGAATTTTCTTAAGAGGCAATGGAACTTACCATTAGAGTAGAAACTAGATTCCAAGATTATTCGTCGTCAGACGACTATTCAGCAAAATTCAAATTCTTACACTATGGATACCAAGATTATTGATGATGTACGAATTGGGGTTTTGCTACACACTCGTCTGGGGGCGAAAACCTTTTTTTTTTATTATTTTACATCACTTCGACTCGGTTAGTATATTCGAGTATATTGCGATGATGATCGAGACTTTAAAATGGTTAGATCTTACCATTCTACCCGACGGGATTTGAACTCGGAACCTTGCGTACGTGAGGCAACGACCTTACTCACTGCGCCAGGCCGTCGGGTTTTACGAAAAATTTCAGGCGGCTGTACCGAAGATACATACAATTACGGAAAAGAGAAAACTCTTTTCCGCACTCGTAACAAAATATACTATTGTCTGCAGGTTACATCAAAGTTACATCCATCCAATATACTCGCCTTCGGCTCGTGCTATAAATCTCCCACGAGCCAAGAAACACTTTTCCCACGAGTATCGAACGATATTTTTCATCACAATGTGTGGAAAAGGGACGTTTTACTTTTTCGCACAGCGTGATGAAAATTGAATTTCGCTGCAGCTGTAGACTAATTTCATAGCTAAATGGATACATAAGAAATCGTAGTTGCTTGCTGCATACTTCGGAAAATTCCTTAACGCCAGGTATTGACGGTGTTTTCTCTTTCACATCTCAGTAATAATTCTTCAGTAATCATATAAAATTATTCGTAGGAGAGTTCTGGATTCATTTAACTGCTGCCTCTGCGGCAATCCTGAATATGATGAGAAACTCAATGGAATAGAAAACATTCATTTGGAGAATGCAATGTAAATCATCTCATGTCTTGGCTCAGAAAATCTCCAGTTTTAGTCATATGAAATAGTTGGTTACTCATCAAACGAGTTGATGAAACTTGGAAGAATTATTCATTAAATAATAAGCGTTTATCTACACTTCCATTGATACTTTTTTTTCGAAAGACTTGACCCTTTGGAGCATCCGACCCCTAAAATATTTTCCACTGAAAAAATGTTTCGTTGCAAGAATGAATTGAGAGTAAAATTGACGGAATTCACACTTGTCTGCATTCGAAGTTTGTCTTTGTACTACTAAATTTTAACAATTTTTCGTAATAGAGAAAAATTTCATTTTTTCGTATTGGTTAATTTCATTGTTCCTATGAATGCAGCGTGAGTGCCTCTTCGTAGGAACCTAAATAATCACGAACTGAATTTAAATGTCTCAATTCAATTTGAAAGGAAATATTGAAATGATCAAGCATTGACGTGAAAATAAAATTGTAATGCAAATCCAATGAGCAGAAATATTTTGAATGTTCAAAGAAAAATTCCCAACATTACAATTAAATGAGCAGTGAAGTGAAGAAATAAGATCATTCATTTTCCCTTGAAGATCAGTTTTTTAAAATAACGTTTATGCATTTCCCGAAATTCAATTTTTTCCTCTTCGAGAATAATTCGGTAATTTTTAGGCTGATGAAGGGACAGAAACAACTTTTTTGATTGAAAACAATAAATTGGAAGTGATCTACAAAAATTAAAAAAACATTTTTAACTTCCCGACCGGAAGGGAGGAAGTTATTGTAATGACCCCGAAAATCGATTGTGGAAATTTCATGATTTCTCCACGTTTCATGAGCCCTCCCGACACTTTTTAGAGACCGCTCTGTATGTGTGAATGTGTGTGTATGACCTAAATTTCGTGCTATGATATGTCTCGAACAAACGATACGATTCCATTTTTTTCACACAACCGATGTGTTTTCATGTAATTTAGAAGTCATTAGATTTTGAACAACATCGCCTCAGCGGTTCTTTAGGTTTTGCAATTAAACTTGTGAAAAAACGTCGAAAAATAACATTTTTTTACAAATTTGATAATTCCTCTCAGAGAAAGGATGAGATTGATTTCTTGTCATCATAATTGATGCAACTTTGTATGCTTAAGACAAGTGAAATTCCAACAAAATCGTCTCAGCGGTTTCGGAGTAATTCGAACAGGAATTTTTGAAATTTGAAACTTTTCAATTATTTTTCAATGTAGGTCAATTTTTTTCATTATCACTTTTTTTCCATTCTATTTTTCTGTTTTTTTCGTTAACAAAATGAAACAAAGACCTAGGAAATTTGAGCTGAGGAAATTCAACGGAGAATATCTCAATAGAAGAAGTTGTATAGAAAAATCTAATTCTAATAAATGAATGAAAGGCAATTAGTCTGGAAGTTATTGGTTCAACTCGTAATGGATCACACCCACTCCAACTCACACGCAATGAGAGCGAGCGAAGCCAGCGACCAACAACCCAGTCGAATTTTGTCCTTATTTACCGACTCTCATGGGTTTCATTTTAAACTGATAGTGGGTCCATTCTAGCAGGCATTAAAAATGAAAATGGAAATGCAGGACATTGGGAAAAAATTATCTCACCTTCACATTTATCACAGATAACATTCTTCTGCAATGCAAGTTTCCTAGTTGTACCCTTGTAGAGTTCCTCGAGTGAAACAGACAGTCGGTGCACGACATTATCTCCCTTGTACCTCCTGTTACGCGAACCACTGCCACCACCGAAGAATACGTCGAAGATATCCATGGGCGAGGAGAAACCACTGCTCATTCCCCCCTCTTTGAGGGCCTGCTCCCCTCCAGTATCATAAATACGTTTCTTCTCCGGATTCGATAATACTTCGTAAGCTTGAGAAATTTGCTTAAACTGAAATCAGGTGAAAGGGAATCATCAGTGAATATTATATATTTTATATAATATTTACAGAAAATATATAATATTTATGATTTATAGTAATATATATAGTTATACACAAGCAAACGGGCGCTTGGCGCCCCTCGCTGGCTTATTTTATTTAAATTTCCGTCTTCACAATTAGTTTAATTTAATTTTATCCATTCTTATTCTTATTATATATTATTTGTTTTCTTTAATTCACAAATTACAACATTGAGCGAAGAAGAATTATGTTAAAAACCAGTAAAAAGTATTTTTTTGTGATAAAAATAAATACACAAAATCAAAATTATTCAAAATCTCATTCGGGTAACAGAAGAATCCATGTATTCCTGAAAATTTTTAAAATCGATTTTTTTTTCGAATAATGAAAGAATACCAATAAATTCGATTTCTATCCTTGTTGTTTGATAGAATGAGTAGAATAAATGACCGAAATTGAGAATTGGAGACTACAAATTTCATCGTATTATTATCATGTAATGATGTAATATTTTACTTTAAGGATTTCCAAGCATGTTTTATACTTTGGTACAGACTAGACTTAAGATTTAACCATTTTCAATCATCTAATTTGTCAATTAAATGGCGTGAGAAAAAATTCAAAAAGATAATGAATATTCAGCGTCATTCAAATTACATTTTGCAAAGAATTTTTTTTAACATTCGGTGTTTATAACTAAATCTTTGAAATTGTTTAAACTTTCGGAATTTTTTTTTAGGTATGAAATCAATTTCTGGTAAAATTCTGAATATGAATAAATTCATTACGATTCCGAACAAATGATTTTTATGGTGGAAAAATGATTGCTCATAAACTATTTCTAGAAAATGCTCGTAATTTTTGAAAATTGTAATTTTTTTATCATTTTTCCAATCTTCCTTCAACAGTGTAAAAAATTTTCGTCTGAATTTTCCGTGCCAAATTCTGGAAATTTTTATCGTATTCAAGTTCCACTGAAATTTCAAGAAATCTTGTTATTGAAAAATCAAATATTCCATTGATTTTCTGTTCAAAGCATGGGAAAACTAATAAAATACTTGATTTTTCAGTGCAATTATTCTGTGAAAATTCAGAAAAATCAAGAAAAATTCAGGGAAAAATTGCAAATTCATGTCATTTTATTTCTGAATATTCATGCATTGGATTTCATGGAACGAAATAGTATTCAAAAATCAATTTCTGCACAGCTCGACACTTGTCAGTGTCAACCAATAAATTGTGTTTATGTTACGTGGCGACCGCATGGCGGGCGACTACGAATTCTCTAAACAAAACATAGAACAAAGGACAAAGAGAAAATGCGTTCCATGTGGTCCAATCTACTGGTCCTTATTTTTTTGCAGTTAGTCTCCGACCGCCGTAGTTAGAGTACAGATCGAGATGCGTCTTCTACGTGCGACTGAATAAAGAATCAGAGTCATACTAACTTCACAGAGTTATTATTTCAATTTTACAATTTTTTCATAATTCCAATAACATGTTCCACTGAAAATTCAATCAAGTTGTGAAATTTTCATCTCACTCCCACTAAAAACTCATGAATTTCCGTGAATTATACTTTAAACTTGAAATTGCATAACCATTTTTTCCCTAAATTCGATTCAATGTCCCTCTCATGAGATTTACTATAATATCTTGCATGAAATTTCAAAAAATTTCTACCAGTGAAAAGTAAATTTTCTATTTTTGCTGATTTTTAAAATATGCTTTCTAACGATACAATATCAAAATTCAAATTCAGAGCTGAAAAGTTTAAATAATAAAATCATCGCAATATGTACGGAAACTTAGCGTCAAACGGAGCTCAAATAAAACCTCAGATGTTTGCCAACAAAAGTAGAAAAGCATTTCACTGGAGAACAAATAGTCAAAATACTTGGACATAATTAACAAACTCATCAGTTTAATTGACTAATTTTAATACTAACCCTCTCGCCCTCATTTGGATTCTTATCGGGATGGTACTTAAGAGCTAATTTCCTATAGGCTTTCTTCAGATCATCTTGCGAACAGTCGGGTTTAACCCCTAAAATATCGTAGAAGGTTGTTTCTTTCACCATTTTGCTGTCTATAGCCTCAGTGGCTCCAAAGTTCGACTGGTAGCTGCTTCACAAACTGTAACAATATAATTGAAAAACGACAAATTAATCGTCTACAATGAATGAACTTACATTACCTCAGAAATTATTAAAAAGGGAAAGAGTATTCTTGAAACAGCAAGGTTTCACTCTATTCCCAATTCTTTTGAGTCAAAAATTTGATTTTTTTTTCAATTTTTTCTCAATTCAGGAATTACATTTTTGAATGTATTCATTCTAATTTTCCTATTCTCAATTGAGCGATATTCTTATCACGCTCCAATAAAATGGCACATCATTGTGGATTGTGTCTTTATCTCAAGAACGAATAATTTTAGCGTAAAATGACGATAGACTGTTTTTCTAGTTGACAAAACTTTCAACAGAAAAACTTTCATGAGAATTTCTCCGAAAATCACTACCAAGATATTAGCATAATAAAAAACAAATTTCACTTTCTCGACTTGAAAGACGTTAAACTAGAGCAAGCACATAATGATTCCACATATATGTCAAGACATCCAATAAAAATAAATACCGCCCGGAAAAACCATTGCTACTCCAATAATCAAAACAAAATCAGGAACTAAGACCCTTCGCCCACAAAACACTACTCGACAATGCTCCATAAACATTTGTCGAATCTAAAAATCATTGAAAGTAATAGTTATAATTTTTGAAAAAACTCATCGAAGGTAGCAACCGAGTATTCATTAGCATTATACGAAAATGGCGGACGTTAGCGTCGGGGCATTGGAATCAGCCTTTCTAGTCTAGAATTTCAGGCTAAACGGATAAAACTGAGCAGATAATTCCACTCACCCTAAACTCCTCGCAGAATGAAATAAAAAATCACAACCACATTCACTAAAATCTTCGTCACAATTTAAAAGAAATGCCGAGAAATTGATTAAGCAGGTGACAATGCATAAAGTAGTTGGAAGGGCATGTGAGCACGTTTTGGACAGGGGATCCCTCATTGGAAACTCAAAGCCACGCCAGACGGCCTAGGTATAGGAAAAATAAACCGCAATGGTGAACTGAAAAAAATCTGGGAGCGAGTGTATTTGGAAAATACTAGAATTGCCTACACAATGCTCACTACTGCATAATTAAATTTTAATCAATGCAAATTACAAATATGCACTTTTGGATTCGATTTAATTCATCAACGTGGGTGATATATCTATAGATGCTGCATGACAACCTTCAAATGGATTTCGTACGTAATATTAGTAAAGTGAAGAATTTAATTACGACATGCAGTTCAGGGCCGAACACGCGTAACGCTGACGATGGTTAGATCAGCCAAAGTGCCTCAAGACAAAAAAAATGCAAATTTTTCATTGATGTATTGATTTTCCTTCACTAATTCATGATAAATGTGGCGCTCAACACCCATTGATTTGGTGAGGTGGGCTTACCTGATGACAATTTGATGATTCACAATTTTTATGTATCACAAAATACCGTCGTGTGATCCACGAGGAAACTCAATGACTCCAAAATGCTTGGCCTCCGTTGACCGTTTATTTCTCGGGATATGACTGCCAGTGCAGATATACCTCCGTTTCTCGAAAGTTCTCGATGGATAATGGACGTCGAACGGGCGGTGAAGGAGACCAATGGGCTTTCCAAACGGCGGCCCGATAGCGCTGGCAACAGGAGTGTGGGTTTTTTATGAACTCGGGGATAATTGAAAGATTTTTTATATTCTATGGCGTAGAAAACAAAATTATTTTGGTATTTTGAATTCGTTCGTGCTTGTGTAATGTTCGCACTGAATATCTCTAGCGCGTTTTTTATGAGATTTGATGAGCACTGAAACAAGAGAATTGTGAAGTAAATTCGTGCGAATGTGCTGTGCTCTAGAATGTTTTGTGGGAAGATCGGCATGCGAATGTTTTATCGACCGAGCAGTTTTCGTAATTCGAATTTTCTAGACTTTGATTTTTGTATCTTGTGCTTTTAACCGGCGTGTATATATAGTATCACACTTTTGTTGAATTGTAGGGAATGTTTTAGTGATTACATCATTCGTGGCGCTCTTCTCTGATTACTCTATGTGAATAGAATTGCTTCCGAATGGAAGCTTTGTAATCGTTCGAATTTGAGTTTCCAAGTTTTTTGTGTTAGGGTAACTAACTACGGTCTACGGTCCGAATATATGGGATTTTTAGGTGGCGTCTGAATGTGTGTGGTTTTGAAATTTTTTTTTTCGAATTTTGCTTATAAGGGAAGGGTTCTATTGATTTTTATGATTTTTTTCATAAATATAGACATCCATAAGCTCTATTCATTGACACTACTTATTGACTAATTATTGATAGAATAGAATTAATCATGGCTCAAAAAATTGATATCAATATCCACGTCATCCTATCAGAACATTATGGGAGTCGCACCATTCCTTGTTGAGTTGCAGCATATTGTTTATTCGATTTGCATGAGAAACTCGTTTCTTGTAAACGAAAAAGGCACAGTTCGGCCACTCGCGTAACATCACTGTTAAAAAATATTGTTCGACACATGTGAGATGGGCACATGTGAAAGGCACTTTTCGTTTACTTGTAAACGAGAAGTAAACGAAGAGACACTTTTCGCTACGAGGTGAACGTAGCAGTAGTGTAAAAAAATACATCTTTGTCACAAGGCCGAAAAAAACTTTTCTGGCTTATATGATTACAGCACTCGCCTTCGGAACGTGCTGAAAACTCATATTCATGGAGGAATTTTGTTTCATCCTATTGAAAAACCTACTTGTTATAATTGGTGAAAATTCGTAACTATGATATGAAACGAATGTAATTGCGAGAAATTGGAATAAAATTGAAATCTGTTTTTTTAAATCATTTATTTACACATACTACACAATTGTACAATACGATATGAAATTCATCCGTATTCATAATCCGTCGATTTACCAATAATTGCACATCAATCAATGACAACCCTTAAAACTCCAAAATTCGGCTAAGTTTTCTCCACTCTCTCACCCAATTCTCTTAATCTAAAACACAAATGTTCTAAGTAATGACACTAATCGTGTAATTGCACGTTTTTCTCATGATTCATAATCAACTAATATCCGTAACTTAATGCGTAAGCAACAATAATGGTATTTAATCAACAAAATGTATTTTTACAACAACAACAAACGTCCGAGGACGATTTATAACTCATAAGAACCGATTCTCAAACAAAAAGTATTCAACTCAATATTTCAGAAAAAAAAAAGAAAAAAATGGGATAGTTCCCTACGGATGAGATGGAAAAAAAATTACTTATATTCTCACGGCCACACACACTTACAAACAATGTAATTTTCTCTCAGTATTTGGAGATTTGTACTTGACGTTATGGCGTATGACAAAATATTTACTAATGTTTCTTTGGTTCATTTGGAGATTGAAACACTTGTTTCTCTTTCTCAAAACGATTTTGGTCAAGTTCGCTTTTTTCAATGAACTATTTGGAGCTCGATTGAATTTCAATATACTACAGGATGTCCCAAAACGCAAGGAAAATCTTTTTAGTACAGTTCAGAAAGCTCTGACAAAATGTTTATCTCCTCCGTTTTATTAATGCGTTATTAATTATAACGCATTAATTATAACGTATGTGTTATTGATCAGAATCGATTAAACGTTCAATGCTTTTAGGTCAATGCCTAGAATCGAAAGAAGGATACATCCAGAGAAATGGCTTATCCGAATCAAATAAACTTTATTTAAATCAAATAAATGGGTTCATCCAAATATCTTGCAATAAAACTTTTGTTCAGGTTTGAACATTATTTTTATTTTCGTTTTCATTCACTTCAAATAAATAGGTTTTCTAGTATCAACCAGTGTTTGTGATTAAAAAAAATAAAAATAAAGACTTTATTAGTTAGAAATTAAATATCTCTTTGTAATAATCCTTTCTTTGGATTGAACAAATTGTGTATTTGAATACAATAGAGCATTTTTTATGAAAATAAATATAAGATTTTATTTTCAACAAACATTTCGCTGAAATGAATAGGAAAATTCAAAATAAACAGTCTCATTTGATACGAATGTGTTATTTCTCTAGGTGTATGATTTCTCTATTAGAAAAAAAAAGTTGATTGGCCACACCTTATTAATTAATAACTCGAGATTTCATTAGACCTTTCGTCACCAATATTTCCCTGAAATTTTGGGAGACCTTGGATATCGGATTTTCGTATCAGCACAAATTTCAGGTACGTACATTGATCAACCCCAGAAATGCTTTTAGTGTACTCATTATTTCCTCTCGGTGTAACCACAGTGGAAGAGGAAGAAATAAAACACAAATTGTACCCGAACAATTCGTCTATTCAATGTTCACTCCAGTGTCAACTTGAGCATCTCTTCCGACAGATCGCGGGTCTTCAATTTCATTCTCCCTTGAATTATGATCATATCTGTGGTTCTTTAATTTTTATCGGCTGAATACGATGATTTATTCAGGAGTGAGCTGAATTCTCCGAATTTGAGAATCTCTTCCATTGCGGAGTGTCCCATCGCAACCTAGAAGAATTTTTGACAATTTATTCAATGACCAGTGAACAATATATTGGACTCAACATATGTTATATTAGGCTAATCATCTATGCTAGGGAATAAGGGGGAGAACACAATGTTTCCTATCGAAAAAAGTTTTATAAGTCTAAGAAACTTTATTTTTTCGTACTGACCTTCACTTTTCCTCATCCGGGGATTGGTATAGGCCCTTTCCCAAACTCGTAAAAGTGAAAATCACTACGGAAAAATATAGTTCACGACTAGTCCCATGGGTTTTTTTTACTCGCGTGGTTGGCCAATCCTCGCCTTCGGCTCGGACGCCAACTGTACGAGAGTAAAAAACCCCATGACACTTGCCCTGAAATATATTACTTTCAGTCACATTGAGTCAGTGGTACTGTAGTACAGTGGGTACTCATATATTTTTATTAGACTTATCTCGGTCCACTATTTTGTTACTGAAATTTAAACAATGAGAGATCCGCGATTTTCCATCATAGTCATTTTTCATGAGGGGGCGTCCATAAATCACGTGATCCAATTTTGGCTCCTTTCTGACCCTCTCCCCCCCTGGTGATCAATCATGACATTTCGTCGAC